GGCAAGAGGAAGCTTCTTCCTCAGTTTGAAGAAACTTTCAGTAGCTTTCTGCTGTTCAAGGGCTTTGTCTGCCCTGTACAGGAAGTTTATCTATTTGTATGTAATTCTGATGTTAATAGTTTCTATGTGCGTTAGCAGATGGAATTAAATTGTAGGGTAGCCCAGGGCATAGCATCAAATCCATGAGGATGTGGGTAAAACTAAGAAAAAAAATATTTTCAGTTTTGGTTGTTAGTGGATGAGTAGTCTTTTGAGAAGACCATGAACAGTCTGTCTTTGAATAGTTCATTAATATGATGATATTTATATGTTTATTTCTCATGCAGCTTTGGGATTTGAACAAGAAGTATTGCAGAAATACGATGATGGGTCATGAAAATTCTGTCAATCACTGTAGATTTTCACCAGATGATGAGTATGTTGCTAGCTGCTCAACAGATGGAACAGTAAAGGTACAGAGTGTATTTTTAAATCAAGTGGTTTTATTTTGATGATGGCTTTGGATTTTTTTTTTTTTTTTTGGGTTTTGGTGGGGTTTTTTTTTCCATTTTTTTGGTGTAAAATGTGTAAAAAAGATATGTATAAGAGAAGTTTGTGTCTACATGATCAGCTTTAATGAATTAAATCCTGAAACAGTTGATCATTGGTCTCATTTTAATGCAAGATTTTGAGATGGTTTGCCCACTACCAGCCAAAAAGTTGTGTGCCTGTAGTTGTAAATAAATCCTAGCTAGTCTCAGTTCGAATCCTTTACTTGTTCCCATTTTACTTCTTTTTCCCTAATTCATTTTGTTAAGAAAACTGGATGTGTGTGTGTGAACCTTGTTTATTTGTTTGTTTGTTTGTTTGTTTGTTTAAAGTAGTAAGTTTTTAGGTTAATTGAAAGTTCTGTCATCTCTGACAATAAATCATCAGTAAACATAAAAATTTAAAGCAATTTCTATGTACCATTTTTCATGTATGTACTAAAAAAGACTTGAGAGGTTTATGTGTTTTTTCCTCAGTATGTAAGTATTATTTTTATTGCCTTTGGTTGCAACAGAACTGTGCTGTTTCAGAATTGCAATTCTTAAAACAGTGTTACTTTTCTATATTGTTTCTAAATCAGGAAAGAAGGTTGCTGTAGCTGTTGTCATTCAGAAGGAAAATTGTAGGGGAGGGAACAGAAATAGTAGATTTTTGGCAGGTCCCTCAGTGAAATTAAGGTGCAAAGCTAAATGTATACCAGATTTCTTATGGTGAGTGGACTTTTAATAAAGAGTTGCAGAGCAGGTATTATTTTTTTTGTTTTATTCTCCTGTTAAGTAGATGTTGAGACAGGATTGTAGCTGGAATGAGGGAGCACGGGGAGAGAGTTCTGCTACAGTGTAAGCCTTTGGTGGTGTTGGAGTTTTGGTTTTGATTTTGTTTGGGGTTTTTTTCTGTTTGTTTGTTTGTGGGGCTTTTTCTTCTTTTGTCTAAGCTGTCTGGGTTTGTGAATATTCTAATGCTGTTTCTTGACCAGGGAAGGTAGCCTTTCTTTTTCGTATTCTACCCCCTGCCCCTCTTCTTTCCTAGAAGTGATTGGGAGTTAAACGGGGAGATTCCCTGTTGAATTCTGTATCCACATCAGTGAAAAGAGGTTTTGTGGTTTTCCTTTACTTTTTATCGCAGCTTTGGCAAGTGCGCTCAGCAAATGAACTGAAAAGTATTGAGATAAAAGATTTCTTCAAAAATGCAGATGAGCAACCAGATGATGTAGAGGTTTTAGTAAAATGTTGCTCTTGGTCCAGAAATGGTGACATGATTTTGGTGGTAGCCAAAAATAAGCTTTTGGTAAGTACCTCACTTCAATAATGTTTTTGAAGTAGTATATTTCAATTAGATAAAAATTATGATTAAAGATAGAATTCTAGTCCATTAATATGTTTCAGATATAAGGTGCATGATTTCAAGTGTGTGTAACGTAAAAATATGTGGGCAACAAACTTGTTAACTTAGGAAAATACCTTCTAAATTAAAGAATGAACACTGTTGAACATACAAGCTGTTTGTCTGTAGGGAAGTCATTCAAACTGGGTGCTAACTACTGTGATTCTGTGTTCACAGCTTTTTGGTATTAAAACATGGGATTTGTTAACCCAAGTCATCATGAGTCATCACACTACAATCCAATACTGTGACTTTTGTCCTGATGATGAGTTAATAGCAGTTGCTTTGTCTCACTGTTCTGTTGAGGTAAGCGATTGTCTGCTACTGTATACCAGGAAACACTACTTGTAACATAAAATGTTACATTTGTCTTCATAGTTTCCTATATGCAGAGGTAAAACAAACGTAGCTATTTTAGCAGGCTTTCAATGTACTTTCTAATTTTCATTCACTTCTGGTATGTAAAATGTAAGTTGGGAAATAATGATTAAAAGTTATATATTATTTTGGACAACAGAACTCATATTTATTCAAAAACACCGGTCCACTAAATTTATTTAAAGTTACTGTTGTCACTTGCTTAGAACAAACCAAACTCTCCCATATGCTGCTACAGGAACGTGGCAACTTATTAAAAAGGAGTGAAACAGTTAGATTAACTTCAGGACTATCATGGCTTGAGCAAGCCTGTACAAGCATTAGCTTTGGGGTTGGGGGTTTTTTTGTTGCTTGGGTTTTTTGGGGTTTGCAATCTATGTGGTCAAGTTGAACTTTCATTTTTTTATACTGTGAGTGATGATTTTTTCTTTTTTTCCTCCTTGTTTTTTAAAATTATAGCAGTCAAAGAGGCTGCTGATTCAATTTCCCTGTCCACGGAAATGTGATAAGCAGGCACAGTTCATTACATCTGATTTCAAATTGAGAAGTAAGAAAATACTAGAAAAATAGTAATTAAGTCTACTGCTTTTTGTTTTGCACTGTTTTCCTGTAAATACATTCTAAATCCATTTGAATTCTTCTTTCATATTTTTATTGTAGTTATGGAATATTAAATCTTTATCAAAAGTGGCATATTGCAGGGGACACATGAGCTGGGTTCATTGTGTGGCATTTTCGCCAGATGGATCTTTATTTCTGACATCATCTGATGACCAGACAATACGTGTAAGATGTTATCTTTGTATTATGAAAAACGTGTATTTATATTATCACTCATTTACAGAGTTGTTTTTTATAAAAAGTCACATATAATATATACGTAATATATTGATATTATATATTTAGTATTTATGTTCATTTATAGCCAATATAAATTTAGATATTTGTTAGAAAATTATTTAGATATACAGTAAAATGTGCTGGCTTTTTTACTTTATTTACTATTTATCTAAATTTACTGTGTATCTGTGGGATTTGTTAAGTCCAGTAGCCATTCAAGAGTAATTGTAACCTTCTGTTTTGTTTTAGACACTATTTAAATCAGAAATTGCAAGTTTTTTGAGTATCCTAGCAGACTTGATATTGCTTTCATTGTTAAATATATTTGCATGCTAATAGGATAATTTTCTATAATTGTAATGCTTCATTAAAACCTGTGAAAGCAGAAATACAGTTTACAAAAGTAACCTTTCCTTTTCTCCCAAGTGAACACTTATATTGGTGAAATTTTGAAAGCAATTGAAATATAGAAATCTGTATTTGGTATTTTTTTGTAATTGGATTTTAACACTCTGCTTTGGATTAGAAAATTGTGGACTTTATAGACTGTAAATGCAGGGGAGTCTACTAGTCATCCTGGAAAAAAAATAGTTCTCTTTCATCCGTTGGAATCACTATAGTAATTGCACAACCTTCCCTAGTAAATGAAAATAGCAGATTTTCACTAATTTTAAAATCAATGTTACTTGTAAGTTTACAAGTCTTTGGTTTACAAGTAGCCTTACTCAGCAAGTTTTTTATCTTGTCCTTTAGTAAAAGTAATGAAATACTTTTTCTTCGGCAGATTTGGGAAACAAAGAAGGTCTGCAAGTCTTCTGATGCTGTGCTAAAAAGTGAATTAGATGTTGTATTTCACAATGATGAAGTGATGATTTTGGCAATTTACAATCAGAAGCATTTACAAGTAAGCTGTATTTCTCAATATGTTAATACATTTGAATTTTATCTGTGAGCGTCAGTAGGAAATGGAGGAAGCACTGAAAGTACGGCTTGTTTGTGGCTTTCAACACTTGAATTTGTAGCAAATGACTCCTAATGTCAACTCTGCCTAGTTTAGTAAGCAAAAAATGAAGTTTGAGGAGAAATTTCCACACAGATGTTGAAACTGAAGCTGGATGCAGAGGAACAGAACTGTTTTCATTACTGGGGAAGCTGCAGACCCTCCAGGTGGCTCAGATGTGCACAGCAATATGTAATGTGTGCAGCATGTATAGACCAGGTGTTACACAGCATGTGTACATAATGCATTAGAACTAATGTGTAATAGCTAAATCAATCATCTCAAACTGGGGGAGTGAAAGTTGTGAGCCCAAGTCTGCCAGCAGCCTTAGGAGAGCTTGGGGTCCTGAATTGTAAAATCTGTAGCAACTACTACTTAATGTTATAGTCTGGCTCTCATTTGAATTAGTAGACCTCATCTATTTATTTATGACTAGTATATCTCTGTTGTAACTTTACTTGCACTGTTTCCTAGGGGAAATGGTGCTTAGGTTTTCTGCCCTAAATACAATATTCTGACATCCTGTAGCAATATAGTAATGAGAGAAGACTCCACTGTAGAAAGAGGATAGATTTTTTACCCTTGCACAAGAAGAGAAATTGACTGAAAAGACAAATTGCAGTTAAGCATGTGTACTGTAGTTTAACAATATATTTCTGCTATCACATCTCTAAAAACATTCTTTTTCTTGCATTCGTGGTGTTTTACTGTTTGTCATTTGTAATCTCTCAGAATTGGGGTTCTGGTCACCATTTGATTTGCAGTATGTTAGTTTTTAAACACTTCACACTGGTAGCTTTTTAAACTTAACCTTTGGAAATCATTGTATTCTGAAGACTTCTCTCTTCTCCCTCCGTGCCCTCACCAGAAATTGATTTGAGGGTGATACTGAGTTGAGTTTTGATGTATTATGTGTGCTAAAGTCATGCTTAGAGAATGCACTTAAAAGATTTTATGCTCCATTTGGCATGTGTTGTATAATCTGGCTGGCAAGGTAAATAAATTTGAGTGTGGAGCTTTTGAAATTTGGAGTAGTATTTTGTTTCCTCTGGCCAAATTTTAAAAAACCTTCTAATATTAAGATGAGTTTGCTCTTGCAAACTTGTCCTTTTCAGAGAGCATTCTATGAAGACAGTTGCACTAACCTTCAAAGCAATTGGTTTATGAAAATAACTGGTCTTTATAATACAAAGTTTCAAACTGGCACACTGTTCTCTTTAACATTCTTAGCTCTATATTTTAATTAAGTTTGAATTTAAAAATATTGTAATAACTTCCTGTTTTGCAGCTTATCAATGGAAATACAGACAGTGTTGTTATACAGACAGTAGCTCAAGAATCCCCCATTTCCTGCTGTTGCTTAGGTGAAGATCTTAAGTTTGCAGCTTTTGGACAGGAGAATGGAACAATAAAGGTATTACATCCTAAATTTGATTTTAAAAAGGAGAACACCTCTCTTGGTGCTTTCTCTTTTTTAAAGAAATGTCACTTGAATAACTTTGTACAATAATATTCTTCAACGTAATACTTCAAAGTTTTTACATTTGTAAGTGATGTCTAAGTGACAGTAATTTAAAGATAGTGCTAATAATGTAGCTCTGAATTTCATTTTACCAAGGACTAAGCTAATATGAATTCTTTGTTGTTCCAGATCATTGACTGAGAATCACATCTTCACAATCTTGTGTTATTTAAAAATAATTTGATATTCTTTTCTTTCTTTTCCTCAAGTATGTAAAACAAATATAATTATTGTATTCTTCATTCTAAAGGTATTACAGTTGTTGGATGGGAAAGTTCTGAAGTCCCGGGAGGCCTACAGGACATCTGTGCAGCATTGTCGGTTTACATCTGATTATCAGACTCTCATTTCAAATGCTCATGATTCAGTTATACAGGTTTGGAAGATATTTAAAAACATTAAGTTGTAATTTACAACTTATTTTAAATGATCTTTTACACTATAGATAATGTAAACTTAATAAATGACTACTGTATTCTCTATTGCTTCATCTTGGGGCAAAAGACTGTAGAAACTGTAGCCTCTACTTATACCTTTCATGATAATGAATATTACACAATTTATATTTTTAATGCTGTGGATGACAGAAAGGCACCAACTCCTATAAGATGGGGAAAGGAACATTAGTTTTCAAAGGTTACTCAATACAGTTCTGATTGCATAAGTAAAGGATCTGGGATGAGACCCAGAACTGGCTATATGTAGTAGGTCTGTCAGTGGGCTTGCTTACACTGAAGGAGGTAGAAAGACCTGTGTCGCACAGGCTAGTGTGTCCACCTAGTCCAGTCCAGTGCTGAATACAGATACTAACTAGAAACGGAATGGTTGCACTAACGCAGTCTCTAATAGAGCTCTGCCTCTCAGCAGGGTAGATAGGCACTGGAGAAGCATTCTGATGTTGTCTATATTAGCATTTTAGCTCACCTCTGGGATGCACTTCTAAAATGAATGTTCTGGTCGTTCATGGTTACTGTGTTTTAGTTTGCACTGCAGAACAGTTACAGGCTGAAAGGATTCGTAAACCTAGAGCACATGGTTCAGCTGCTAATGAGCATTCAGTGCACACAGCCAAGTTTGAGCTGTTTTAAGTAAAACCTTCAAAACACATGTGGGTGCTGGTTCTCAGCGCTGTTTTGCTCATCAAATCCGTTCCAACATCAGTGTTCTACCTACTTGCTGATATACATCCAACCTAAGCAGCATCCAAACTGAAGCTAACTTGAGTGCCATCACTGTGGTTCATTAAGCAGTACAGACAGCTTATCAGTTTTAACAGCTTTGGGATCCTTCTTTCAGGTCTAACGTGGGTCGCTTTTCTTCTGGGTCCTCCACTCCCTCTAGTGGACAGCACATCAGTTAATCCTCCAGCATTCTCTGAACACCTCTGCTTTCTGAACTTCGGTGCAGAAAACCTATTAATTTGAAAACTATAAAATCATTGTAATTTAAATTAAATTGATGCTTAAGAGGTTCTGTAAAATAAACTGTAAAAACTTATTCAGTTTTCAGTGAATAGTTGAATTTAAAATGTGTCCATTTATTATAAAAATGCAAAACATTTCATTAAAAATGTTTTAAAAATATACAATAAAGTTAATTTAAGTATAGAGAATATAAGGGTTGTCTGATCATGGAAATCAGTTGCGATAATTGAAGGTTTAAAACCCCAAACTTCTACGGTGCCTAGAAAATTGTTGGTTTGCTTTTCATTTTTAAATTGCCAGTAAATTTTAAGCATCATATTCACTTTGAGAATCAGATTATGTTTGTATTACAGGGAACTTTCTCATAGATTTACTATTAAGTATAATGGCATCCTCAATCTTCAGCATCTCTCCTATGGATATCTTTAATATCTAACCTTTTAATTAGTTGCTGCCTCCATAAGAACTTTTTATTATTCCTGTGACTTAAAAATCAGTTGGTTAATTCTTCTTACATTTGCGTTAAAATTTTTTGGGTTTTTTGGTTTTTTGTTTTTTTTTTTTTAAAGTATTCCATCTTTATGATTAGGTATGGAATTGGCAGTTGAATGAATGTGTGTTTCTAAGAGGGCATAAGGAAGCAATCAAGGATTTTAGACTTCTGGAAAATTCAAAACTCCTTTCTTGGTCATTTGATGGATCCGTTAAGGTAAATAAAAGGCTGTGAATTGACAAATCACATACAATACATTTCACTGTCTTTTCTGACATTTGGTATCTTTGCACTTTGTGTTGCCACACATCTTACTGAATTGATTCTAAAGTGTAAGGTGACAATTTTGCATTTTCTATTTCTAGTAAGATTTACAGTCTTGTATTTTAACTGTACCAGTAAGTACAACAAAATATTGGCCATATTAGAACTATGTAGCTGAGTTTTATTTCTTATATGTTCTTGTGTAAGATGCAGGTGTGTTAACCTTTTTACAGTGCTACAAAAGTAACCTGCTTTTCCTGTATATTTGTTAGGTTTGGAATATCACTACTGGAAACACAGAAAAAGATTTTGCTTGCCATGGAGGTACTGTTCTTTCCTGTGCTGTTTCACCTGATGGAAGTAAATTTTCATCTACTTCTGCTGACAAAACTGCGAAGGTTGGTTACTTTCTGTACAAAGATAAAAATGATGGTTTATTTGTTCTGAAATATATGCTATATGTTCTTTTATTCTGAGGTGACTAGTGGTTGTTTAAGCTATCCTGTTGTATTTATAGTATTAAATTTCCTGCATTGGTGAACATGTTTTTAAAGCTGTTACAGTCATTCACTATTCATCTTGGATAGAACTTGAGGCTGTCCTGGTGACTTATGTTCAAATAAAATGCACAAGTTTGCGTAGAACACTTTGTTTAGTTCTCTGTATTGATTTGTCCATAGTCTAACATTCTTAATTTGGAAACCTAAATTAAGAAAAATTACTGAAACTTCCAGTGGAAGTGCTGTCCATAGGTTTTCGTGTTCCTGTTTGGAAGCAAGGTGCAAAAAGTGAACTGTTTAATAATCTGGGTCTGCCCTATTAGATTTTTAAAGTGTTGTCTTAGATTTCTGAAATCTAGCTTTAAATTGATTGATGAATTATTTTTCTATGAACAGCTTGAAATTTTCTTGTTTCTCAGTTTGATTAAAGAGTATATTCCAAGGTTAAAAAATATACCCGCATGTGGCTCAGTAATTTGTAGCAAATGCCTTCTTGTGTGATTCAAATGATAAAAAGACTACAATATAATACATACATAAATGCACACAAAATATATGCACATATATAAAAAAATCTTATGTACATTTGAACATTTGAATACTAATGGTTTTGAACTTACTTTTTTCACTTTTCTGTAACGTTTTTCGTTTAGATATGGAGCTTTCTGACTTCATCTGTTCTTCATGAGCTGAAAGGTCACGAAGCCTGTGTGCGGTGCTGTGCTTTCTCTCCTGATAACAAATTATTGGCCACTGGAGATGACAAAGGAGAAATAAGGGTACTGCTTCAGCCTTGCTTTTTATTTTGCAATTCAATTGATAGTTCACAGACAGAAGAGTTCTCATAATTTGTCTGATTCATTAGCATTGTGGTGAACATTGGGGAGTCAAAAATAGCAAAGTTCGCCACATGAGACACTTGTTTGTAACCATATTGATAGATTTATGTTTTGTGAATGCTGAGGAACTGATTCACATGATTTACCAATAATTCTACTGTGAATTGCATGCATGATCAAATTCTCCATATACAATACAGTTCTAAGAGGAGAATTCATTTCTTTTGATTATTCTGTCACTTCAAGTAGAATGCTTATTTACAAGGTTTTTGTTCTCTAATATAAAAAAATACATTTCAGCTTTCCTTACTTGAGATTTCCCCCTCCTTAGGTTTACTTATATCCATAATCTTCCCTCTCTTTTAGATCTGGGACATGTTAACAGGCGCTTTACTTCACTTCTGCTCCCCAGTTACTGTAGACGAAGGAGAACCAACGCATGGTGGTTGGGTAACAGACCTCTCATTTTCTCCTGACAGTAAAATGCTTGTGTCTTCTGGAGGCTATCTTAAGGTAAGCCTTGAAATAATAAAATTTCCTAACATGCCTAATTAAATGGCAATATTCTGATAATTCTAAAGGAAAATGCAGACTAATTCAAAGAAAGAAACCTGAGATGTTTTACTTAACACAAAGCTGCTCCATTTTCGTGGCTGTTATGCTCTTTTCTCTTTTTTTCTTCTCATATCTGAAACTGTCCTGTAAAGGTCTCATACAAATTTAGACTCAGACTTGGAGTTTGGTTTTGAACTCCACATATTCAATTCTTATTAACATCTGATTTTTATATTATTTTTATATAACTATGTAGTTGTAAATCTCTATTATGCACACAACAATGGTGTTACATATTTCGTGAGATGAGTAAGCTAATAATTAGTAAGACCACCTGCTTTTATAGATGATCAAAGCTGAAGATAATCTGTTTCAATATTTTGCTTCTGCACTCGAATTTTGCAAGAATAGAGGGCATTGGAACAGTCAAGTAAAAGTGTTATGCTGGATTATGTTTGGTTCCATTTTGCATTGGTTTACAGTTCTTCCAAGAAGAATGAAATTTCAGTCTTCATTAATTGTGTAAACTGATGGTGGAAGGTTTCTCTGTATCTTTGTTACTGGTGCTTACTGTTTATTCTAAAAAAAATAATAAAAACATCTATCACTGAAAAAAGTCTGTCTTGCTAGTAAAACTGCAGATGGCTTCAAATGTGTACGCGACTGAGCCTCTTGTGCATCTAGCCAAGTTCTTTCAGTTATATTGTCTGGCAATGTGTTTCATTTATTCATTTGGTTATATAAAAATGTATAATCTTTTAAATTTTGGCCGTGTTACAGTTTACATCTATTGTTTGCATCTTGTGGTGGGGCAATGGGCAGTACCTGAATTTACCGCTTTCTATGCTGTCTTGAAATTGAACAGCTTCAGAAGTTTATTTTTATCTGAAAGTCTTACACCTCTTCTAACTGGTCCTAAACATTTTCTACTTAAGATTACTTGGTTTTTATTTCTAATTCTACCTTTCTGGGGAAAGCAATCAGCTGGGCTTGCCATGCTAAGCCTGCTGATAGAATTTATCCAAAGCATCCTTCAACAAACTGAAAGCGTGTTTTTTGTTTTTTGTTTTTTTTTTTTTTTTTTTTTTTTTTTTTTTTTTTTTTTTTGTTTTGTTTTTGTTTTTTGTTTTTTTTTTTTGTTTTTGTTTTATAGTGGTGGAATGTAAATACTGGAGAATCCTTACAGACCTTCTACACAAATGGAACAAACCTCAAGTCAATACATGTGTCCCCTAATTTCAAAGTGTATGTGACTGTTGATAATCTTGGTATTCTTTATGTATTACAGAAGATGTGATTAATGTGCTGGACACTGCAAAGATAATTCATTTTTTAAGCTGGAAACAAAATTGTGCTAAATGTTTGCCTGACACTCATTAAGCTGTGAATTATATTTCATTGTTCTATTCATGATATCTTCATGTATATTTATGTACATTTATGCATGTTTTTTCAGATGAACTTGCATTTAATTGTGGGTTTAATAAGCATTACTATAATCCTTAAATCTCGATTTGCATATTAAGTATGTTGCTTCCAATTTTGTAAGGAAATTGTATTAAGATTTATTCAAATTAGTTAAAATTAATAACAGTGAAGAAATAATAGGAATTTAATACTTTGAAATGTTGTTTTGTGCTATGGCTAATGGCTAAGTGTTCTGTAGCCATGAACAGAACTGTGTAAGATGCAAAAAAAATTTTTTTTACTGTGATACAAGGATTTTCATTTAGTACAGAAAGGAAAGAATCAGGGACATCCTTCATTTGAAAAATGAAGCTAGTTATCTTGGTGCTTGATGTTCAGAACAAATCAAGTAGCTGATTTATAGTGCTTCCCACTTGCAGTAGGAACCTTCATGTTTCTAACCTTGTGGAGATAAAGTGCATTGTAACACATATGAGCTATTCCTACTTAGGGGAACGTCTTGAGTCTTGTTTTCTCAAGGCAAAATCTGAAAGGATTTTGCAATTGAAGTAGAAGAGGTTGTACTGTATTTCCAGTCAAAAGATGAATACAGCTAACCAGCTAAACTAAGAATGGAAATGATTTAAAAGGCATATATTGAAAAATACAAGATTATGTGAATTTTAATTATTTTTCCTTTTGGAATTAGTGTTTAGTTTATACAATGGATACATTTTACTGTCATCAGCTTTGTTTACATGGGATTCTATGCACAGGGATCTCTTGCCTGGTAATATGTGATTTTTAAATTTTTTTTTGTAATTTTTATAGTCTATTTATAGATTAAATATGAGGTAGAAATGTTTTGTAATAATTATAATTGACATATCTTTTGTGAATAATTAGATAATTTTTCTTAGGTACCCAGTAGGTTTTGTTCTATCAAATTGCCTCTCAACTGCTATGAGCAACTGCACAAGGATTAGTATAGTGATTTTCATGTTTTTATACTTGGCAGTAGAACAGTCCATCTAAGTACTTGATTGTAAAAAGTACATTAGTGTCTCAACTGATACTGAATAATGAAATTCTCAGTTCTAGGGGTTTTTTTTGTGTGTGCATTTCGTAAGATTTTAATATACATTCTTGGTATTTTTCTGGTTTTGACAATTGTGTTTTTCCTCTTCTTTTAACTTGAAATTCCACCATTTCTAAGGTGCTATTTAATACGGGTCAGTATAATCAAAGTACTGCTGGCAGAACTCTAAAGAGAAGAAATTCAATAGAAAAAATATGATGTTTTGTATTCTGAGTATGTACAGCATTCAATAAAGATAATCCAGGCAGTACTGGCCAAAGTTGTAAATTTGTTGTGAATTTGAATTCTTGAATGGTTTGTTTGGTTTTTTTTGTTTTGTTTTGTTCGGGATTTTTTGTTTGCAGGGTAAGAGGGAGGGGAGCGCTGCTGCTTTACCGTCTTCTATTGTGGTTTTATTTTCTATTCAAACATAATGCTGCTTTGCAATCTACATCAAAAATACTTCAACAGGTGAGCAACAGTATTAAATACAAGGATGGAAGAAAAACCCAACAAAGGGAAACTGAAGTCTTGGAACATGTCCTGCAATGTTCAGGACAGAGTTGCTTCAGCTGTCTGGTTTGTACAGACCTCATCATCCCCCTCTAAATAGCTGAAGATTCAAGGAGCAGGAATCTCCTCTCAGGCAGTGTCCCTTGATTGCGTAGGCTGTGCTGTCCTTACCGCGTGGGACCATGTTGGTCTGAACTTAAAGGTCCAACTGGGTAAAAAGATGCAGGATAAATATTTCACATTAGGAACTAGGGCTGAAAGTTGCCTTTTGTGACAATCCTAATGAAACTCTGATGACAGGAAAAACTGATCATGATTTAATGAAGAAAGTGAATGGTGGATGAGCAGAGTTCATAGACGTTTTCAGTTTTGAAGTGAGTAGGTAGCACAGAAGCTTGAAGAAGTGTGAGATAAATAGTGCATTCTTCAATTATTCTGCAAGAAAAACAACACAGCAGCATTAATTGCTGAAACTGAGGAGTGCTTCATAGAAGGTGGTGTTAATAGAGTCAGGACGGTTTCATTCATGTGCAAATGTATGAAGTTGGCTGTAGGCCTTTGTAGCTGAGGTGGAAGAAGAGAAATAGTGATGAGGAAGTCTGAAGAGCCAAAGAACAGATTTGATTTGCAAGATATGATAGTGATTTAAATGGAAAATTGTTAAAATAGGGGCCAACTAAGGCTGCCGCTTCTTTAATCTAAAATATTGAAGAAGGTTAAGGCAGTTTTCTGTAATAAAAAATAAAAGTCCTGCTGTGTCATCTGATTTAGTTGTTCTCTTTGATGTTAAATGTATTTTAAAGGAAACAAAAGAAAGTTTGACCAGAAGCAATTTTTATGTAGATGGAACATAAGTGCTTCCATTATCTCTTGTAATGCCAGATCAAATTGAATCAGCCTGCATTCAAATTTAACTAATGAGCATTGCCAATTTTATCTAGCTCTTTAACTGAAATTACAATATGCTTTTGTGTAAACAATTTTTAGGTACACTTCCTATTAATGATGCCTATCAGCTTCTGTAGAAGTTTTGAGTCTCTTCACTTTGGCAATTAGACCTGCAGTGCCTTTACAAATCTTTTTTTCTCTTTTGTTTATTAACATGGAACTGTATCCATATGTGATACAGCTGCTTTATATTGCCTTGAATTGTACTAATCCTTCTAACTACAGTATTCCCCTTCCCCCTTTCATCTTACACAGTCATTTGAAATCGAACTGCAACTGGAAATTTAGTTATTGCCTGAGGGTTTTCCATGTAAAGTTTTATAGATCTGTAGTGATGGAGTGTGTAGATAGAGCTAGAACTGGTTAACCTGTTGCCAGTAGAGGAACATCCTCCACACCAAAATTATTGTCTCCCCTAGAAAATGATGACATTAAACTCCATATTACAGAATGCTGTGCAAATTGCTGACCCCCCTCAACTGAAAAATATGCTTTTGTTTAACAGCGCTGCAACAATGCATGAGAGGAGTGGCATATTTCCAAGGTGGGATTTCAAGATGCTTAGAGTTTTGTCTTTTTTAACAGTGTTTTGTTTGTGGTGTGGGGGTTTTTCCTTTTTTCTTTTTTTTTTTTTTTTTTTTTTGGTGGGTTGTTTTTGTTTGTTTGTTTTGTTGTGTGGTTGGTTTTTTTTTTTTCGTAGAGAATAGATGAATGAACAGACATAGGTGTAGGCCAGGGGAAATCCATCTCTAAATACAAATCAAACATTTTGATTTAAAGAATCTACTCTGAAGCCAAGTCATGTCTTGGTGACTGAGCACTCACCATCTAGACACAAGTTGGTAGCTCCTAATTTTTGCAGTGTATTTGCATGTTTTATTACAAGGCACTATGGAGTTTATTTGTATTCAGTACCAGATAGCAATTATACATCTTACATTTCCAGCTGTACAAATGAAAGCTTTGAAGAAATGAGTGGAAGGTGTCTCATCAATATGTGACTTGAACTTCAGAACTGAAAAATGTGAGGAGAAAGAGCTTCAAGGAGTACTGAACGTATTAAATGTTGGTTAAATCTTACCTTTATTTGAGTATATGTTTAACAATAGCATGAAAGAAAGTCACCCAAGTGCGTGTGAATTTTCAAAACATTTCAATAAATATTTTAAACATCATGCAGATGTTGCACTCTGTTTCTCAAAGCCAAACAGTTGGGGTTTTGTCCACTCTAAAATTCATAGAGCAGGTATTAATCTCTTTTCTCCCTACAGTAACAAGGATTCAGCTATTAAATCCCTGTTCTGACTCAGCAGCTGTTTTTTTTCATAGTCTTGAGCACTGGGATTGAGGTGGATCTTCTGAGTACATGTTCATTCAGAAGAAGGATGATAAGTGGCCAAGCTGAATCGGTGGAAGAATAGTCTGTTTTTCACTGCAAGACTTTAACAGTGAATACCTGCCAGAGAGAGGTACAATCCAAATGAACTACATGTGGCCTGTAATTTTCTTCATAGTTTATCTTGAGTATTTAGATTTGGTTAAAAATATATTTAACACAGTAGATGGCAATAAGCTAAAAGCTAATTTGATTGGTTTATCTCCTTTTCCCAAAAATATCTTTGTTCAAAGGGTTAAAATTTCAGTTGTGATAGACATGGAAAAAAGTCTGTTCCTTGAAGTTATGATCTATTTTTCCTCTTAAACTTCTACTAGCTCTGCAGCTTTTTACACTTTGCAGTTTCTCAAGCTGCTTTACCCCTAATTACCATCTCATATTTAGTCCTTTGTCACTATTTCCAACTTGCTTTCAAATGAGCTTTCCACTGTTCAGGGTTCTAGTATTGGTAATGTTGGGAGAAGATTTGCTGGAGCAAAGTTGTACTTCACTATCCTTTCTTTTATCACAAAGTGGCCTTGTGGAATGAAGCATTTTCTCAGTTTGTGTTCTGGATCTCTCTGGTTTCTTCAGTGTGTGTTCATGAAAAAATAATGATCTTCAACAAGCTGTTGCACAAGTGTATTATGCATTATATTTGGTTTTTTATGCTAAAATGTGAATCTAGGAAATTAAGATCATATCTAAAAATTATTTTCCTACATATATATATTTCAGTTTTCATACAAATTAGTTCTGCTTTTCAAAAATTAAACCACAGTGCTCACGCAGCTTGTACCTTCAGTTTGCATCACTTATTTTGCTCTTTATTTGAGTTCTGTCATGGGTTAGAAATCATTTTAAGATGATATTATGTATCTGTCCATTTGCTTGTTTTGTTAAGCAGGAGTCTATCTGGCAAATGAGAATTTGATCACAGTGCATACTTTGAGCATTTAGCAGTAAATAGAAGAAG